TAGTTTAGAAGTTCGATCGCAGCAAACTGCATATTTTATATATTCTGCGAGTTCATGCCTTCCTAACATTCCACAGATGATTCTTATCTATTATACCAACTAATAGCTTCGAGGTGAGTGGCTTTCGTAATGATTGGATTTCCATCGGAGTTGAGAATCTAATGTTGTATGTGTCATTAACCGGTGTTAATCTGGGAATACCATGTATAATTAAAAGATACTAAGTACATGTATATGAGATATATAATTATATGCATAAATGATACACACTAATGAGGAAACGCCTTTCGCGTTAAGTGTTTTTAAGAAAATATTTGTTAAACATGTTATAAACTGGCTTAGAAATTCCCACCACCAATACAAATTTACATAATTCTGTTTACTTTGCATGTGTACTATGATTGTATATTTTCATACATACACACTATTTATCATATAACCTGGAAAAAAGAATACATTATTTTTCCATGCCATGAGATATTTCCCCTATCTGTGTGACTTCGTATTTCAGTATAAGGTAGTGTCAAATGATATATGTTAACTGTATGGGATGTATATATCCTAGCTAGTTTCTAGTGCATCCCTCATATTACCTGACAATAGCCTACAAATATTTTGTAAGCTATAAAATTGGGACATGTATACGTTAACTGGGATGTAACAGAAGTAAGTGAAAGTTACATTCTAGTAAGTAAAAGAACTAAAAGAACTAATGTTTCGTTGCATCTTATATTAAAAAAAAATATTCACTCTGACATTATTTTATAGTAACATTTACATGTATACCATTAAGTTGAAAGTATCTTTTGCTTACTGACTTGTGTACATATTGTACTATCGAATTATTCGGAAACATAATATTGTAATGTAAATTTTGTTCATTAATGCTGTATGTTGACGCTACATTCGTGTTGACTATGCCCCTGATAGTTTACTTACTTATTATTTACTTATCAGTGTATAATTCGACCAAGAAAAGGTAAGAATAGTAAAAGAAAGAAAGCTACAGAATCAAAATAGTCTGTCAGCCGTCGCCGTCTATACTAGCGATATTTTACACATAGAAATTGAAAATCACAATTGCATAGAAATGAACAATACAGCTATTAAATCAAACCATCAAAATTGAATCGTCAGTCTTCATAATTGATTTAACTGATATTTCCATCCATTTGTCTGAGAGTGAATGTTGTCAAGTTCGTGAGTGTGTTTTTACGTACGGCACTGCAACATTATCAATTACGTTCCAGTAATCCTTTATTTGAATAGGACATGTTCTATATATTTACCGAAATAACAACGTTGCTATGTTTCTAGGCATACAACGAACTTGAATCAAAAGAAATCGTTGATCCAAACGGCCCTTATTTTTCCGAGCGAAAATACCAGCGAAGATGCCCGGGGAACCAATATTAATGCTGTAATTCATTCAGATGTGGGAATAGATGACAAAGGGCAAGAACAAATTTGAGGAATCCGAAAACGTAACTTACTGAACGGGAATTTCACGACGAAGTTTTCAACGTTCTGGTTATCTCCGTGCGACTGCAGTCTTTGAAACAGCATTGAGGGACTCTAAAACGCAATTTATGGCATGACAAAAACGCAATGTAATGCAAGTAATACAATATCACGATGAATGTTCGCCCATTCTTCCATATTCATTTGGTGATATGAATAATTCAGCCCAGCGCTTAGTAGATAGGTTATTTATTAGGCACGCCCGGGGAATCAAAATTTAGCGTTAATGGCTTAGGCTATGGTGACTGTACCCCAATCATATTTTAAAAACAAACAATAATTTATTCATAAATTCGGAAGTTTTTATATTTGACTTCTTTTGTTAGAAAACAAAGACTCTCACTATACAATCTAGATAAATTTATTTTGCAGAATTATATGAATAGTTAAGAATACAAAAGACAAAAGGATTTTAACCTATACAAAATAAGTGTATTCAGGTGTATAGGAAAGTTCACTAGTTCATCGTTATATGTGCGCCACCGACACTGTTTTCTTCAATCTGGTTATCCACGGCTAGCGTCCTATTTTCTGGAACATTTTGGATTTTGACGTAATTTCAACTGATGAATTGGCAGCAAATAATTACAATTTAAAGTTTAGCTGTAGTTTTCAAAATTATGCTTCTGACGGTAACATCGCACTTTCAAAAATAGGATTTTGAGGCTGTTCATTTTATTGACGGCTAGGGGATACAGTCAAGGAAAGTGAAATCAAGTATGTAGTATGTATCCAGTGAGTTATCTTCCATAGCTTTGTCTACACGATGATCTCTCGTGGATAACCTGCAATGTACAATATGGAACAGTGACATTTTTCATTGTCTTTAGCTAACTGTAGTTGTCTGTCTTGAAAATAAAAGCTAAACCATACCTTGATGCTGTTCCACATTAACTGAACCATGCCTTGAAGCTGTTCCACATTAACTGAACCATGCCTTGAAGCTGTTCCACATTAACTGAACCATGCCTTGAAGCTGTTCTACATTAACAGAACCATGCCTTGAAGCTGTTCTACATTAACTGAACCATGCCTTGAAGCTGTTCTACATTAACTGAACCATGCCTTAAGCTGTTCTACATTAATTGAACCATGCCTTGATGCTGTTCCACATTAACTGAACCATGCCTTGAAGCTGTTCCACATTAACTGAACCATGCTTTGAAACTGTTCCACATTAACTGAACCATGCCTTAAAGCTGTTCCACATTAACTGAGCCATGCCTTGAAGCTGTTCCACATTAACTGAACCATGCCTTGAAGCTGTTCCACTTTAACTTAACCATGCCTTGAAGCTGTTCCACTTTAACTGAACCATGCCTTAAAGCTGTTCCACATTAACTGAGCCATGCCTTGACACTGTTCCACATTAACTGAGCCATGCCTTGAAGCTGTTCCATATTAACTGAACCATGCCTTGAAGCTGTTC